CATGGCATTAACCCCGCGATCTCGGACAGATGTTGGAAAAATTGTGGGGGCCGTGGCACCTATATTCATTGCTGGTGGGAGTGTCCCAAGGTCCAGGCCTTCTGGAGAGAAGTCAATGCCCAAATACTTTTAATTACAGGTTGCGCCCTCCAACTACAACCCTCCTTGTTCCTTTTGAATCATTGGAGCCATCCTGCCCCCAATGGGCTTATGAAAGAGTTGATAGAATTGTGTCTTGCGGCCGCTAGGAATGTTATTGCATTTCATTGGAAATCCAAGAAGACGCTGCTACTGAGTGACTGGTTCCTGAAACTGTGGGACTTCTTTTTACAGGACAAAGTTTCCACTAGCATCCTACGATCCGAAAATCATCCCGTTCCTGACAATCTTCAAGAAAAATGGATGCCCCTCTTGGAAGCCTCAGCAGCACATAAAATCGACACCTCCCTGTTTGCCCTGCATAAACACCAGGACTTGCTTTCATATTTTTAACTGTTTTTTTATATTTAATAAAAAAACAATTAAAAAAAACCATGGTACATGGGGAGGATCAGCTACAGCCTTCCTGTACCACTTTCACAGTCTTTTAGCGGCCCCAACAGAGCCACTATTGACTGTGTTGCAAAAAAACATGTTACTTAAACATTGCTCAAAACTCCCATTGTGCATCTGATGTAAAGTTCTCATATCAATCCCCCCTCCAAAACAAATTTGAACACTTTTTAATGTTAAGACTGACCCTGAAGTACACCTACTTGAGGCCACTGTGAAAGTAAGGGTAATAATGCCCTAGAATCCAAACGGGGTAATATTGGCCATAACCAGCCAGTCCCCTTATCAAGTGCAGCGCAGGAATGAGGGAAATACAGCATACCCAGGGGTATTTGCAGTATACAAGCCCTCTGTTTCCACACACAGCCTTCCCATCATAATGGCAGATCTTCTGCTACATATGAAAGAATTTGCAGTACAAGGCAACCGTGATTCATGATGTGAACTCACTCATCGAACAGGACATTGTGTTGAGGGCAGACCCCCAGATTCTGCCGAATGCTGCTGAGTTCGGAGCGGATGTCTTTGCCCAGGATGAAAGCTGTGCCAGAAGTTGGTGGAAATAGTCCAGTCAAGATGGACCTATATGGAACAGAAGTGACATTGGATCCAAAACCACAAGTGGGAAATAGAACACAGAGGAAGGGTTTGTTTTGATTTTCACAACACTGTTGCTTACATCGTGGTTGTTTTCCCAGCTCCGTTGTGTCCCAGGAAAGAGGTGATCTGCCCTTCATAGAAATTCAGGGTGAGGCCATCTACAGCCAGCTTTTTGCCATTGCGATAAACCTTCACCAGGCTCTGAATGGATACGCCAAGGCTAAGATGACTCGGCTCTTCTTCCATACAGACTGTGGGGCAGGAAAATGAATTATTTAGTAAAGAAAGAGAATATTGTAAATTCTCCCAGGTTGCTCTAAGTACTAGGCCTGACAGCATCGGAAAAGCAACCAGTTGCGGCATTGAACGCAAACGTGGCAATCCAAGGGGAAGCAGTTCTTGGAAATCTAACTAAGCCCCTACAGGAAGTCTGATCTGTTGGAATGCTTTCCCCTAAAGAAGCGTTGGCTGGTGCGCAGGCACACGTGTGTCCGTCTGTACCAGGCTGGGTCAAGTAAGGGCGAGCTTCCTGTTGCCACTAGGCAGGCTTAGGCTAGGTTTGTCTTGGCACCCGAGAAGACAACATAAGAGTTCCCTTGATGGAGCAGGCCAAGGTGCTTTTCTGTTCAGCATCCGCTTGAGCCCTCCTGTATGGACTGACTTGACTCCGCGCACGTGCAGCTAACCCAGGAGATCAGTCACTCACTTTCAGACGACCCCGAGCGGAGAGATGGAGGCGGCTGCTGCTGCTCGTACTTTTCACCACACCAGTAGGACTTCAAGAAGGGAAAGTACCAGGGTCTGGGAATGCCATACTGGCCTAGACCAAGAGACAAAAAAAGATACTTAGGAGAACCGTGCCTCAAACTCCTGATGTGAAAAAAAATAAAGCCGTTCTTGAAGAGGCTGGGAGTCTATCCCTCTAGGGCATTTTTATCCCTCCTCTGCCCTGCTTCCTCCAAGGAGCTTAGAGCAACACGTTATGTCTCTCCCGTCCTCCATTTTACTGTCACAACAACCCTATGAGTAGGTTAGGCTGAGAGAGAAGGACTGGCCTGAGGTCACCCAGCAAGCTCATGGCAGAAGGGGGATCTAAATCCAGGTCTCCCTCTCACCCAGCACTGCAGCCATAACACTGTACGGGCTATTTGGTGCTCCTCTGAAAACACTAGGGGGCTTTTCTGTATTCTCATTTCCCTCGTTTGAAAGTTCCTGATTCTTTTTTTTTGGGGGGGGGGTTTCCTGTTCCTCGGGAGTCTTGCTCCCTCTAGTGGTTAATCCGCTATCACATCCGTTTATGTCCAGCATATGTCCCCGCAGATTTAAACTGCAGGTTTTTATGTTGAACATAACCCAATATAATATTGAATCAACCACCACAGGCAGCAAAACATGTGCAGAGCAGAAAACACCCCTGAAGAAACAGGAACTTAAAAGCAAGGAAAAATAAGAATGAGGAAAGGCCTTAAATTGGATCCTATGCCTATCCTACCACTCCACGGAGGAAAATCTGAAGCCTTCCTCCAGCCTAAGCAGCCTTTCTGCTGGCTCTTCCTCCAATTGAATGGAGGATGATTGGATCCAGTCCAGTAGAGCTAGCCCTGCCCACACTGTCCTGCCCAGATTGCAAAGCTGCCAGCAGCCCAAGGCAGTCTTGTCACTGACTGGGTGAGAGTCCACTGAGCCTAAACACTCCAAGCAACTATCAGTGGTGTGTGTTGACTGGAGGAAGAAATATCAGGGTCTTTCATTTTGGGGCTCAAACATGGTCTTCATTTACTTTAATTGGCTTATTTTCATTTTATTTTAATCAATGTTCTTCTGCATCCTTGGAAAAGTTCTGTTTGTAATCCTGGAGCTCTATTAGTCTTAATTTGGACTGCATTTATATAAATTTAGATGGAATTATTCTACCATAATGAGATTCTGGTGTTTTGCTCTGGCTTATTTTTGCTTCTGCTTTTTTGAAAGTAAAACTGCACAAATCAACTTAGCAAAACTCAGCATGCTTGGGGGAAAAAAGCAACTTATCCAGTTATATACCCTTCAGGGCACTATTCCCAGTAGCATCAAATGGCACAGCTGAAACAGCAATTCCAAGAAATGTTTTTATTCGGCAGACCTAATGGATTGTAATAGTATCATGTTCAAGAGCAAAAATTCTTTCCCAAGATCTGAGGAGTTTGCTTACACATTTAGATTTTCCATTTAACCACTTTATATATTCCAGTAGCAAAATTTTTCTGCAACATAAAACTTTCAAAGTCGTTGATGAGAGGGACAACAGACCCAACATTTCAAAAGACGTGGAAAAAACTGCATGATTGGTACAATTTAAATGCATAGCTTAAAGTAATGAAATTTTTGGTATTATTAATCTTTTATAGTTAAATAGAAACTATGGTAAAAAGATAAGAGTATACAGAAACTTAAGCAAACTTATAGAAATTCTTTAAATATGGTAATAGAGTTATAAGAAAATATACTGATCTCTTTGTATGTTTTATGTGTGTAAGTGGATGTTTGTTATGTAGTATGTTTGTTTGTTGGTATATAATATGAAAAATAATAAAAGTGTACCTTTGGGTACTTAAAAAAAAAAAGTATTGGAGTGGGCTAGTGGAGCAGACAAGCCCAGACAAGGATGGTTAGTGACTTCCCCAAATGTCCTTCCCACTTCCTCAAAGTGGTCCTAAGTAACTGATGTAACCCAACTTTAATCTAATGGGCACAGCCCTGCAACGAACTCTAATGTGCACAAACAAGGCATGGGTGTGTGGCTGACTCAAGCTGCAAGGCTCTGAATAGGTTTGCTTCATTTAAACCCCACTTTTTGAACAATGGGGACCTAAAGTGGCTTACAACATTCTTCCCTCCTCCATTTTATCCTCAACATTAAGAGCCATATGAGGTAGGTTTTGACTCTGTGTGTGTGTGTGTGTGACGGGCAAGATCCCATAGCAGAGAAGGGATCTGAACCTGGGTCTCCCAGATCCTGGTGTGACACACTAACCCCCCCACACAGTGCTGGTTCCGAATCTGCTGCCGTGACCACCATGAGGCTACGTCATCCTAGGTAAGCAGCCACATGGCCTTCACTGTTTCCAATAGACTTGAGAACCTGCCATTTACTGCAAATATGGGTTTTTCTGCCTGATGTCTCCCAGGTCCACCCCAGCTGGCAGATGAATCCACCCAAGGAGGCATGGAGTACTGGAGCCCAGTGAAGACAGAGGGAGGCTCACCTGGGAAGACAGAATCAATGTACCAAGTCATAATCCCGTACAGCAAAGTATCCAACAGCATCATGTAGAAAGAAGTGGTCAGGTTGAAGCTGTCTTCTTTTATGGGGCTCTCAAAGATGTTCTGCCACTGGACTCCAACACCCTGCTCTTCAAACAGGGAAATGTATTCACAGCCAAACCCAAAGGCTACAGGAGAAAGCAGGCTCTGGAGAAGAAAGATACCGGTTCGCATCAGTCGTATTTTAGAAGGAAGGAAGGAATGCAAGCAATTGATAAGATTAGCTGTGCCACGGTTACAAACAAGCACCATTTCAGGTGCGTACCCTTGTTAGTCTGCCGTAGGAGAGCAAGATTTGAGTCCAGTAGTACCTTAGAGACCAACAAGGTTTCCAGAGCACAAGCTTAGGGCACTTTTGACTCTCAAAAGCTTAAACCCTGGAAATCTTGTTGGTCTCTAAGGCATCACTGGACTTAGGGCTTTTTTTGTAGAAAAAGCCCAGCAGGAACTCATTAGCATAATAGGCCACACCCAACATCAGAAACTCATTATAATGTTAGGCCACACCCCTGACAGCACAGCTCATTAGCACATTAGGCCACACCCCATGCCTTCCGTTGGCTTGCTCGGGCACCCTGTGGCTGCAGAGAGCCCGGGCAAGCCGGCCCTTGGACAGACTGGGGAAGGCATGGGGAGGCATTTAAATGCCTCCTCAATCCTTCCAGGCCCCCCTACTTCAGAGTCACTGGGGGGGGTGTTGCTCTCCAGGCCTTCCCCCTGTAGCCACGCACGCAGAGGTTTTGGCTGTAGTGGGTGTGGCCAACTCTGAAGCCAGCCAGAACTCAGTTCCTGCCCAAAAATAGCCCTAACTGGACTCGAAACTTGCTAAACAAACACTGCAGAAACAGGGACCACACATCGATTCAGTATGTTACCACAGGGGCACCAATGCTGCACCAAGTAGGTGGGGCAAAGAAGACAGTTTCTTATTACTTGACTTTTGTCCAGTTGTCCAATTGGGTGGCGAAGAACTATGCCTGACTCATGGAACGTAACAGTTACAATCTTATTTTTTTAATATGATGCACCACAGACTGGAACAGAGAGGAAGGTATATAGCAAACTGAGGACCCAACTACACATTATGTTTTTCCTGGGTCTGTCCCCAGGCAGGTCAAGAGTTTCTTGCCTCCCAGGCACACGTGGGACTGATTTGATCCAGAACCCTGGTGCGTAGGGAGGGGGAGTTCTAGCCTCCCCACTGAAGGGAAGGGAGCCACAGTTCAGTCCCCAAGCTGACATAGCCCCTGGGGGATGTGCTGTTTGCCCAGATGGAGAAATACATATGCAGCCATCAGTGAATATCAACTTTTCCCAATGGGTCCAATAGTGGGGCCATGAAAACAGCAAGGTGGGAGGGGCCCTTCAGCCTTCCAGTCTGAATTGGGCCTGCATGCAGAACATCCAGATCATTTCTGTCAACCCAGCTGGGAGCCAAACCTGGGAAAAGTATATAGCAACTCATTAGCCTCTTAGTGGAAGACCCCACTCTTGCCTGATCACCTCTGTGTTTGAGCTGCACTTTGTATCACGGATTGCCCCTCTTGTGTGGCAAATTCCTCCTTACCAATTGGCAGGACAATCTGATGACCACACTAACCCCAGAGGAGCTCATCTTATTTGCAGAGGCCTAGAGAATAAAGTGTATTAATTTTTTTTAAAAGCCCAATGAGCTGGCTACATCAGTGAACAGGCAGCTGCAGGTGTGGGAAGGAGCGTTGTACTTGCCAGTAACTAATTTGTTAACAAGTGGGCATATGGTTCAAAAGGTTCCTTTCTCGCATCATCACTTCACAAGAGGGAATGTGATAAAAATCACATCGCCACCAAACTGGTGATGACCAGGGCTAGGGCGTTCTCGGTGGCGGCTCCTATCTGGTGGAATGAGCTCCCAGAGGACATCCGGGCCCTGCGGGACCTAGTACAATTCCGCAGGGCCTGTAAGACGGAGCTCTTCCACCAGGATTTCGAATAGGAGCCGCCACCATCACTGTTCCACCAACGCCCTATGATTTCCGCAGACTGCCATCCTGGTGCGGGCATTATTGGAGGGAAACGGGAGCATACCATCTTGGCCTTAAACAAAAATTCTAACATCTGGAACTAAATAGAGGAGCACTGAAAATGTTTTATGATGTTTATCTAATTATTTATTAATCGTCTATCTGTAATTTAACATTGTAATTTAACATTTTATATTGTTTTATTGTTTTACTTGGCATTATGCCCTGTTAGCCACCCTGAGCCTTCAGGGAGGGCGGGATAAAAATCTAAATAAATAAATAAATAAATAAATAAAAATGCAGCAAATGATGAAAGAACAGAGCAGTATTCAAGGCACCAGGCCTGTAAGTGTGGAGTGTGGAAAGGTGGGCTAGAGGTGTGTGCAGGCCACAACAAATCCTCCTTGAGGCTCCTTCTGGACCAGTGGTTGGCTTTTTTACTCCTCATCCCAGTAAAAGACCCCAGGAGCTCCGCCCAGCCTAGTCTGAAACCTGAGTCCACATCTACTCACGGCAAATATTTTGAGAGAGAAGCCGACATAATCCTGCCAGGCAACACAGAGAACATAGGGCAAGTAGAGAGTGAAGTAGATGATTCCTCCGCAAGCTGCCGCCATGTTGGCCCTGGAGAATAAGGTGCTGATGAGGAAGCACTGCAAGATGGTCACCACGGCAAAAATCGACAGGAAGACAAACACCACGCTGGGATCACTGTAAGGCAGCAGGTTCCCGTTCTGGATAAAGAGAAGACCAGTCGTAGGGAGCATGAAACACTATTCAGACATTACGGATTTTTTTTTTTTAAAAGAAATAAATACACCTAAGAATATTTAAATGAGCTAAGAAGAGGGGGCAAATCTCTGTTTGCAAGCGCAGCTACAAATGCACATACTCACCAGAGAGCCAGAAGTGGCTACAGCTCTCTGCCCCAATACCTTGTCAGCATAAGAACATAAGAACATAAGAGATGCCAATGTTGGATCAGGCCAAAGGCCCATCCAGTCCAACACTCTGTGTCACACAGTGGCCAGAAATACCAGGTGCCATCAGGAGGTCCACCAGTGGGGCCAGGACATTAGAAGCCCTCCCACTGTTGACCCCCCCCCAAGCACCAAGATGACAGAGCATCACTTGCCCCAGAGTCTGCATCTGTGCCTGTGCAACCTAGAAAGCCCGTACCTGGATTGCTCAGCCTAGTTTAGTCTTGTCAGATCCTGGACGCTAAGCAGGCTTGGGCCTGAGATGGATGGGAGACCGCAAGGAAGTCCCGGGTCACTCACTATGGCAGAGGCAGGCAACAGCAAACCAGCTCTATTTGTCTCTTGCCTTGGAGACCCTACGGTGTTTCACCATATATCTGCTGCACCTTGACAGCACTATCCACACCCTCAATGTACTGCTTAGCCATTCTCTCCTTGAATCACACCTACTAAGTCGAGACCTCCATTGCTTTCTTGTGAAGACAAGCTAGACGGTGGTTATATTTATCGGAATTAGTTTCGTACCCTTTCTCCTAGATGTTCAAAGCAGGATTTTCGTCTCCATGGATTCATGTTAGACTGAGAGGCAATGGCTTGCCCAAACCTGCCGCTGGAGTCTCTTCACAGGGCAGGGATCGGGACGTGGGTTCCCAAGGCCCAAACCAAGCACTGGGTCAGGCCACCTCTCTCATCATCCGAGTGTCAAAACGGGGTGTGGGAGACCCAGGTTTGAATTCCCATGGGAGATTACTGGGTGACCACAGGCCAGTTGCTCTTTCTCTCAGCCTAACCTACCTCACAGAGTTGTTGTGAGGATAAAATGGAGAACACCGTCTCCATGGATTCATGTTAGACTGAGAGGTAATGACTTGCCCAAACCTGCTGCTGGAGTCTCTTCACAGGGCAGGGATCAGGATGTGGGTTCCCCAGGCCCAAACCAAGCACTGGGTCAGGCCGCCTCTCTCATCATCCGAGTGTCAAAACAGGGTGTGGGAGACCCAGGTTTGAATTCCCATGGGAGATTACTGGGTGACCACAGGCCAGTTGCTCTTTCTCTCAGCCTAACCTACCTCACAGAGTTGTTGTGAGGATAAAATGGAGAACACCGATGTAAGCTGCTTTGGGTTCCCATCGGGAAGAAAAGAAGAAGAAATCAGACCACTGGTACATCAAGATTAGTATTTTCTACTCTGACGGGCAGCCCCTTCTCCACGGTCTCACACAGAGGCCTCAGGCAAGGTATTTAAACTTGGGTTTCACTGGTCATAGCCTAACACTCTAACCATAACACCATACCGGCTCTAATGGAGTAAGAGGTATCCAGCAGAAGTTACTTGGAGAGCTGCTGCGTAATGGGCTTCAGATGTAGAAGAAAGTGAGAGAAAGAGCGGGGTGGGGGGGGGAGGAAATAGCACAAGCAACTCTTCGGTATTTTTACAGAGGTGAAGAAAGTTTGTGCAGTACGTCAGCACTACAGCTTTTCTCAGCTTTCTCCTCCCATCTGAAATATGTGCAAAGGGGGGGGGGGAGTACTGGTCTCTACATCTTAAGAGTTGTGGGAGCCATGTGACTAAAGCCACCTACCGAGATGATGACGGACTGGAGATGTTGACAGTGGACTTCATTCAGGAGGGCATTTTTATAAAGGGAACAGGGGTAAGCTGTGTTATCTTGTGAGCAAGAATTCTACTTTGTGAGCTCCTGGCATTAAAGTTGTGAGCAAGCTATTTGGCTACTGCATAAATCAGTTTGCTCCGGAGCCATCCTCTTTGAGCTAAGACAAAAATCTGTGAGCCAGAGGCTAAAAAACTGTGAGCTAGCTCACAGTAACTCAGCTTAGAGGGAACAGGGGTTATAGTTAACTCCTGTGGAAATTTAGGCAGCCTTCATTGCATTATTCATTGTATATACTATATTGTCTTTTTACTGCACTGTTCTCTAGTTGCATAATCCATTTTTAACATTGTTAGTTATCTGTTTGGCTCTTACTGCATCGTCTGAATTGTGTAATCAACCTCGCGCCTCCGCAAGACAGATGGACTAATGAAATAAGGCTGATCCATAAATAAAGGGTTACACCCTTCGTCAACACTGAAGCCAACAGGCTCTGAAACTCTGAACTCTGCTTAGGACCACGCCGTGCGCAACTTACAGTTTAGTTGCTTTAGCTACTACGCTAAACCAGCCATCGAGGGTCCCACATGACCACAATGAAACATGGGGCCAAACGCACCTTGAGGATCAGAACGAGGAATCCCGCGCTCAAGAGGAGTGGGATGAGGCTGCTGATGAACCAGCTGAGCCAGAGGATGCCGTTGTCCAGGCCCATGATCCTCATGGTCTCTTTCAGCCGGGCTTCCTTCTCGTACACGATCCCTTTGATGATCATCGCCACAGAGTAAATCCAAGCCAGGGTCATGAAGAGGGGCATCGACCGACTCATGACGTGCAGGAATCTGGCAGGGAACCAGGCCAGGAGGAAAGAGGGTGGGAGGCAAAGGACAGGGGTTATGATACTTGAACAGGCAGTAGGTTTGGGGCAGACAAAAAAAGGAAACATTTTTTTTGCATCACAGCACAGAAAACCAATCATGGTTACTGGCCCTCTTTCTAGTGCTCTGTGTTTTTAACAGAATTATTTTACAATTTTAACCCTATTTTTAAAATTGTTCAAATGTTTTAATTTTTTTTAATGTTTGTTGCCTTGTGGACCATGATCGGTTGGAAAGGGGGCATAGAAATGTCTTAAATAAATAAAATAAACACTTTAACTCATGCAATTCACCATCCAGAGCTGCCATCTAACATGGTTTTAAGAAGACCTATCCATGAATTTGCCTATCAGCGTCCGTTAGTCACGATAGTTGAAAGCCAGTGGTATTATAGCTCTGATTGCTTGAAGATGTCAAGTACAAACAGCCAAGAGTAAGACCATCTCTATTTCAGAGCTGCCTACCTGGCCAATATTGGAAAAGAATACACAAAATGTATCTCTGCACAGTGCCATTTTGGACCTAGGAGGTACACGCTGCTCTTGTTACTTAAAATCCTTGCCGCAGTGGTGGCCAGGTGGAAAGTCTCTGTGAAAAGAATACACAAAATGTATCTCTGCACGGTGCCATTTTGGACCTAGGAAGCACACGCTGCTCTTGTTACTTCAAATCCTTGCAGCAGTGGTGGGCAGGTGGAAAGTCTCTGGGAGATAAACCAAGCAGGATTCCTAGAATGGCTTCTGCTTAGAGAATGATTCCCAATCAATGTTCCCTCTAAGCTGTGGAGTCTTGTGAACAAGAATTCTTTTTTTGTGAGCTACTGGCCTTAGAGTTGTGGGAGAGCAATTTGACTACTGCATAAATTAGTTTGATCTGGAGCCATTCTTCCTGAGCTAGGACAAAAATGTGTGAGCCGGAGGCTAAGAAACTGTGAGCTAGCTCACACTTAACTCATCTCAGAGGGAACACTGTTCCCAACTCTGCATCCCGCTTCAGAGGTTCTTTTCTGGCACCATTCCCAAGACTGCCAAAACAGACAGCTTAAGGGCCTGTCCAAACTGGCTCCCAAATTTGCTATTCCTAGAATGCAGGCTTATTGTGACCTGATGTGGTCGACCTAACCATGTTGGCAGCCTCCTCATTTACACAGAAACTTACATGTCATCCACGTAACAGGGGTACGGCATCTGCTGGACATAGACGCCGGTTTTCTTCTCTGTGCCTGTTAGAGCCCGGATGATTGCCTGCTCCACCACATCCTGTAGGTAAGCAAAGCCTCCCCAGACGTAGCGCATGTCTTCAAAGGGGTCAGCTCGAGGACCTGGGTCCCAGAACCTGCACCAAAGCACCACAGATTATTGTCTATCAGAAACTCTAGCACTGACTCCTCTGCGTCTGTGAACTCAACAGAGTCTCTCTGAGGAACACTCACCCATCCTTAATTTTGTTTGTCCTTTCCACATTGTCTATGTCCATCCGTATCTTGTACCTGACGTGATGAGGCAAGTTTGTGCTGCCAGGAGCCATTTCAGGGAAGACAATGCCTGCCCAAAATCTCCTCTGGTCCAGCAGCTCCATGGACTTGTTGATAAGACGTACCTCACTTGGCATAGGCTCCAGCTTGTCCAAATTGACACACTGTAATGAAGGCAGAACATGAATCAGAAGATTTTTGGGCCTGTTTTTTCTGCTGGTTTTAGTGGCTGCTGCCTTTAAAATACTACTGGTTGCTGCTACGGTTAGTTCAGTAAGCTTTACATTTGTTCTAAGGAGAGCTACTCCCTTCTAAGTCTATTGAAACCCACCCTTCTGCACCTTTGCTAACACTCTTTTTGAGGTGCAACTACCAGATCTGTACACAGAGGCACCATAGATCTACACAAGGGCATTACAATCTGCCCCCCCCCAGTCCCTCTCCTAATAATCCCAAGCACAGACTTTGGCTTCTTCATGCCAGCTTCTAAACTACCATGGAGAAAAATATACATTGTCCTGACGAATAATGAAGTCACAGCCACTGGCTTTGAGGGAAAGACTAAGCAAATATGTCCAAGCAGCACCAGGATACTTACTTCCATGAATCGGGAAATGGCCATAACAGCATGATCTGTCTCATTGAAAGCATCCCTCCAGGAGTAGGTTGAGCCATTCACGGGCTGAACGTCCTCTGGGTATTTTGCCAAGAACACGGCAACATCCTCAATTGTCCAGTCTGAACCTTCCAAGTACTGGTGCCAGAGGTCCTTGTTCTTTAGTAAAGTCTGACGTTATCAACACAGGAAAGAGGATTACAGTTACTTTACCTCTGAAGTTATTATTTCCACTTAAGCCAGAAGCAATACAATTGTAATTCTGGGAGCACATTTGCTTGGCTTTGATGATGGAAGATTTTAATGTTAAGCCCATTTATCACCCCACCAACTCTCTCTTTCTCACCCTGCCAGTTGGTTTTTTTGCATCCTAGCCTGTGACACTCTTCTGATTCTGAAGCATCCCACATTCGACACTTGTGAAATACACCACTTGCGCAAATGACTCCTTCCACCCCATGAACCTACCTCGTAAAAACTGCCTACCCATTCCGAAACTGTACAGCTTTCACAGGACTGTACCACATCAGAATAGAGTTTTGAAGTGTGTTGGGGGGGGGATGATGCTCTGGCTGTGTAAAAGTCTCCCCAAGTTTTGAAAAACAGTAGATCATAAGAGGCTTTAGCCTAATTCCTTCTAGTTATCCATACACCGGGGGGAGGGGGGCTTTAAAAGGAGAGGCAGAACATTTGGATATGCAGTTCTGAGCCTGCATTCCAAAGTGGAATAGTCACAGAAAGGTAACGACCTGTCCACGGGGGTGTAAATTGAAGGGTGTAATAAACACCTCCTGCTTGCTTATCTTGCCCTGTCTGGTATTGACTTGTGCCTTTCTCATTTCTGTTCTTGTTTCAGCAGGTGGCAGCCTTGAACAGCATCTCTGGGAAAACTGATCCCACTGCCAAAAGAAAAACAAACAACCCACCACTGAGAGCCAGAGAGCCTCAGGAGAAGAAAACCGTTTTGGTGACTGCTAGCTGCTAAACTCTGCCAGTGTGTTCTGAAGGGCTCTCCTCTAAAGTGTGGGCAAAGAGACAACCAAGTATGATTGGATATGAAGAGCTTATCTAGTACAGGAATTTCTCTACAGACCACATATCACAGCACAATAAAACTAGAGACAAACAAGCTAGAAACCACAGTAGGGTTTGCCAGGTCCTACCTAGCAGCCAGCAGGGGGCTCCCGGGCACTTTTTGCCTTCAAAACCATGGAATTTGCCCCCAAACTAGTGTGTCTCCCCCCCCCCATGTCAGTGACACGATGACATCACTTCTGGGCGACATCATTGCATCAGGGACATCCCACAGTGACATTCCTGTTTGCGGGTGGGGTTTCCCCCACAGGATCTAAGCCCTCAAAAGCGGGGGAACCCCCACTAGGACCTGGGGACTGGGAACCCTAAACCACAGTAGAACAAAGTCCAGTGGCACCTTTAAGACCAACAAAGTTTTATTCAGTGTATGCCCTTTCTTGTGCACGAACACCTCCTCAGATACAATGAAATGGAATTTATCAGTCCATACATATAAGCAGAAGGTGGGCAGTAAAATTAGCAGGCAACATAATGAAGATATTTATCAGGTTCAGGAATAACAAGCTTAGTTTATATGGTTACCATTTAATATAATGAAAATGTTTTTAACAGATGCAAAAAAGCAAAAAAAAAAAAAAAAAAAGGCTAGAAACCAATTCTGCTTTGTAGAATCCAACAAAAAAGTGGGTACGGTGCACAACTGGTTTGTGTACAGGAGAGTTTGTGGATCAGCTTCAGGCATCCTAGTTACCAAAGGTGGCTCCCGAAGATAAAGTTAATGACCTGGATCCTGTAGATACATTCTGCTAGCTTTCCTCCACTGCATGAAGCCTTCCCTTGACACCAAGAGGCTCAAGATTATTATTATTGTTATTGTTATTGTTATTATGTGCAGCAGTGGACAGGAAGAAAGACATCTACAACTTAAACTGTCCCATTAAGAAAACAGTCAACTGCAATGAGCCTTGGTTTAAGGCCATTTCTGGAACTTAACATCACAGTGTACTTTTGAGTTTGTCTATTCTCACCACTGGTCATCTCTGGGGCGCTTCCAAGCAGAAGGATGCTGGCTATAGTCTCATTTCCTGACAGACGCACAGCCAAGCATGTGATGCTCTTCTCACGTGCACCAGTTCTACTGTCTCACAGCTTTCTGACTGGGACTGGGCCCCTTCCCTGGCAATTAGTCTACGTTCCACAAAACTGCTTGGATGTCTAGCTGGATCTGAACACAGTATTCCTGAATTTTCAAGGCGAGTATCTTTAATGAATAATGAACCATCCTGTGTTGTAAAACACAGAAAGGAAGGACAGGGTTTATTTGTTCTTCTGCTGTCCAGAAAAAGAAAAAGGAGTAGGATATTATACTCCACTTTTCTCTACCCTAAGGGGTCTCAAAGTGGCTTACAACTGCATTCCCTTCCCCTCCCCACAACAGTCACCTTGTGAGGCAGGTGGGGCTGAGAGAGTTTTTAGAGAACTGTGACTGGCCCAAGGTCACACAGCAGGCTCCATGCGGAGGAGTGGGGCAACAAACCCAGTTCTCCAGATTAGAGTCTGCCACTCTTTACCACTACACCACGCTGGTTCTTCATGATGACGGAAGCACCTACTATACCCTTCCTTTCATGCCTCTACAGGAAACATCAAGTAAATTTTCTACTGTATGCTTTGCCACAATTTGCACCCGATGCACATAAAAGTTTTCCAATAACTTAAAAGCATGATATGGATGCAGATAGGAACAACCACGGATTAAGTGGTAACTCGCCACAGGGTACATGGAGCATCTTGGGAAGCTGTGTGGGTATACGTGACCCTTTTAGCAGCCATCTGCACCTGAGAAGTAAAGTTTTCTTGACTGCTTGGCAGGATGGCATAGTAACATGACTATACTCCAGGGTGAAAAAGCTCTCCCCAGGGTAGTTTCGTGACTTACATGCACTCTCCACACACCCTACCAAACAGCAATGTTCCCTCTAAGCTGTGGAGTCTTGTGAGCAAAAATTCTACTTTGTGCGCTACCGGCATTAAAGTTGTGAGCGGGTGATTTGGCTGCTGCATAAATCAGTTTGCTTTGGAGCCCACCTTTCCGAGCTAAGACAAAAATGTGTGAGCCGGAGGCTAAAAAACTCTGAGCTAGCTCACGCTAACTCAGCTTAGAGGGAACACTGCCAAGCAATAAGTACAATTTTGCTATACATCAGGTACGGACGTGTGGTATGATGTGAGATAAAGATGATATTCCATATCTGGCCTGAGAAACAGGGTAAGAGAGCTGAAGTTTCCAGCGTACACAGAACAATGGTAAATTACCACTTGGTAAACCATAACCTGTATCCGCCCAACACCGTGGATGAACCTAGTACCCACCAGGATGGAGGGGGATATCCAAGGGGAAAGTGTCATTTCTCATTCAACAGCACATTCCAACTTGAAGTCAGGTCCAAGCATAACACCACATTAGTCTCCAGAGTGAAACGCACCAACCAACACAACTGTCATTGGACTGAAAAGCTTCTGAAACAAATGCTGCAGCACTTAAAATGAACATGATTTATTCTTGTTATTCTCTGCAGTAGGTTATTATCTGTATCACTCATTTCCACAAAGCTGGGCAGGGGAAGAGAGTCCTGTGCTCGGTTCCTGCTGTACAGCCAGTGAGGTAATACTTAATCACACTCTCCTCGAGTAAAGAGCGCTGTATCATGTGATTATGGCAATGCTCAGCATAACAGAATGTACAGCTGACTGTGCTTCAATATCCCCTACCTGCATGTCCATCTGACCCATATCCTTAACAGCTGTACATTCACAGCAGCCTACAGAAGGAGGGAGCGTGAAGGTGATTTATGCCCCAGCCAGGATTTGCTCCACTTATGCGGTGCAAATCATCCTAACTGGCGTTCTGTGAAATCACAAAGGGAAATGCTGTCTAGAGACTGACACCTTTCCCCCTCCATGCCAGGATGCTATCACGTTGAACAGGCAAGAGGCCCTGCACAAGCAACTTTGTCACAAGAAATTAGCTGCTGCGCAGACGTGCACATATCAGCTTGGGGCTGAAGTGCCAATCATGGTGCTCAAACAAATAGACTGAAGACAGGAATACAGGCCCGCAGGATGACTATCCAGTGTTATCTGAGGGAGGATGGAAACAGGTTACGGCATACTGACCCGGACCACGTCCATTTCCTGGCTTTTCTCCATGAAAGTTAGTATCTTTGGTCTTATCTCTTCCCACATCCCTCCGAGATCACGGAAGACACCTAGCTCTTGGAATGTCTTGTTTACCTGGCGGAACAGTGAAAGGGGCAAAGGTTACGTCAAAACTGCAGAACGAACAGAAAATGGCGATACCCAGATTTTTTTCATCCTGTCCCCCCCCCCCAGCTCCGGCTTCGTTCCTCAAAGTCCAGACCGGGGATTAAATGAATTCCTGAGGCTGAAACACCAAAGGGCTACATCCAACATTTCTTTTTTCTGCCCTGTTTGTTTTTGAGCATGCGTTTAGGTCAGCAAATGTAGAACAAGAGCTGGGAACTCATGGAAATTAACCAGAGTTGTGTAAGCAAGCAGAGTGGATACATATGGCATAGGATCTGCCAGAGGTACACCAGATAGCTATGGCATTCAGTCCAGTCACTGGCTAATACCACCTTAGGGGAGGAGACCACTGTGTTCACCAAACCCTCCAGTTTCCCCATTCCTCCAATAGAAAAAAAAGAAAGGTTAATAATAATAATAATAATAATAAGAAGAAGAAGAAGAAGAAGAAGAAGAAGAAGAAGAAGAAGAAGAAGAAGAAGAAGAAGAAGAAGAAGAAGAAGAAGAAAAAGAAGAGATTGGATTTATACCCCGCCCTCCACTACCCAAAGGTATCTCAGAGCGGCTTACAAACTCCTTTCCCTTCCCCTCCCCACAACAGACACCCTGTGAGGTAGGTGGGGCTGAGAGAGCTCTTGACAGAAACTGCTCTTTTTTCAAGAACAGCTCTTATCAGAATACGGCTTGCTCAAGGTTATCCAGCCAGGTGCAAGTGGAGGAGTGGGGATTCAAACCCGGTTCTCCCAGATTAGAGTCCACGCACTTAACCGCTACACCAAACTGGCTCTTGGGGGGGGGGGGGTAAAACTATTGCAACATCCTGAGCTTCCTGTTCTTGAATGGGTCCAGCTAATTCAGTGATGTCTACTCAAAATGCAATGGTCTTTCTTAGTCCTGTTACCCAAGAACTAACCACAGATGCCAAGGACTGAACCAGAGACCTTATACATGAAAGGCATGTGCTCTAACACTAAGAACATAACATAAGAACATAAGAGACGCCAATGCTGGATCAAGCCAAAGGCCCATCCAGTCCAACACTCTGTGTCACACAGTGGCCAGAAATACCAGTGCCATCAGGAGGTCCACCAGTGGGGCCAGAACATTAGAAGCCCTCCCACTATTGACCCCCCCAGCACCAAGAAGACAGAACATCACTTGCCCCAGAGTCCCTATCTATACCTTGTGGCTAATAGCCACTGATGGACTTCTGCTCCATATGCTTATCTAATTCCCTTTTGAAGCCGTCCATGCTTGTAGCCGCCACCACCTCCTGTGGCAGTGAATTCCATGTGTTAATCACTCTTTGGGTGAAGAAGTACTTCCTTTTATCCGTTCTCACCCGACCGCTCAGCAATTTCATGGAGTGCCCACAAGTTCTTGTATTGTGAGAAAGGGAGAAAAGTACCTCTTTCTCTACCTGCTCTTTCCCATGCATAAAATATTAGGCGACACACCCCTAGTGTAGCCAATCCTCCAAGAGCTTACAGAGCTCTTCTTACTGGGGCTACTGTAAGCTCTTGGAGGATTGGCTACACTAGGGGTGTGTGGCCTAATATGCAAAGGAGCTCCTGCTACCAGTAGAGCCCTAAGCAGCAGCATTATGATATTGGCTGATCTGTTTTCAATACCCTTCCTAATAACCCGCAGCATAGCATTGGCCTTCTTTATTGCAGTCACACACTGTCTCCACATTTTCAGTGAGTTATCTACTACAACTCCAAGATCTCTCTCTTGTTCAGTCTCTGCCAGTTCAGACCCCATCAATGTGTATTTATATTTAGGATTTTTGGCTCCAATGTGCATCACCTTGCACTTGGCCACACTGAACCCCATTTGCCATGTTGACGCCCACTCGCCCATCCTTGACAGATCCCTTTGGAGTGCCTCACAATCCTCACTGGTTTTCACCACCCTGAACAACTTTGTATCAACTTTGAACACTGACCTGTGACACACACACCCTCCTGAAGACATAAACAAGAGTGCTTTAACTCCCTCCAGAGACAGACAACAAAATGCTTTCAGGTATACAGATGACCTTTTCCCTCCATTGTTGTAAAAATTGAAACCAAATGCAGGGATCCTACCTCAGCCATCACTGCCCTCGTTGCCGGCGTGTCAGGCGTGTATAAGACTTTTCCTACAAGTAAAGGCTTCAGGGCTCTCCATATAATGCGGGAAAGTGGACTGGATTCCAGAGACTTCATGAGGTCATTGCAGTAGGGTGCTTTTAAAAAAATAATAAAACATGAGGGCAGTGCTCAGTACATAGTATCTGCCTACCCAACCCCATAAACTCCTTCCAGTAAGCACCTGACCACCCCCGCTCTGTATTTTATGTAGCCTGCTGCAGCTTCTGGAGCGGAAGAGATCATACTCTCACAAAGCACCCCAAAACAAAACAAAACGCATGCAATTTTGTCAATGGATGCGACTTACTTGTGGCGTTATCGTAGAAATCAGCTACCTCTTCATCTGTGCTGTTGGTGCCAAAGATGGCTTTGTAATTGCTGTCTTCCAGCCAATTGAGAGACTTAATTTGCAATCCACCTCCTTCTGGATGGCCGCAAACAATCCGGGACACTGCTTGGTAAATTTCGGCCGAAGGACTCGTGGTGTTCACGTTGGTCAGGAACAATACTTCCTGCCTCATGTCACTCCAACTTTTCATGCTCACAAGCTGTAGTTCAAAAGAAAAAAAGAGAGAGACGAAATACTTAATGAAGACCCAAATACACATTAAGGACATAAGAAGTGCAGTGGTCCACATAGTCCAACATCTTGTTTCCCACAGTAGCAAACCAATTACCCTGAAGGGCCTTCGCCAGTGCTGCCTCCCAGCACTGGTCGTCAGAGGTATACTGACTCTGTATATGGAGGTTCCCTTCAGTTCCCATGGCTAGTAGCCATTGGACCTATCCTCCATGAATCTGTCTAATCTCCCCACAAATATTTGTTTTATTTATTTACAGAATTTGTATCCCACTTTCCGCCCTGGCACGGGCTACCAAGGTGGCTCACAATTTAGAACATACATGGTAAAATTACATTTTAAAATCATTTAAAATCAACCCTCCTCCCAAACACGTATCATTAAAACAATGTAAAAAACCCAGAGTTAATACAAAGCATAAAACATTGACTAGGAAGGTGGGATCATTGAGAGAATGCCAAATGAAACAAAAAGGTCTTCATTCACTGGTGGAAGGCGGCACCAGGAGGGGACAGACAAATCTCCCTGGGGACAGAGTTCCAGAGATTTGGTGCCACTAGAGATGTAAAATTTCCGGAAATTTTGAAGCTCGGAAAAAAACCCGTTTTCCCCCCGTTTTTTCCTGGGAAAAAATGGAAATTTTCAGAAAAATGGAAAAAAAATGTTACATTAGCATTTCTTTTGTCTTTTCTAGATTGAAAGTCATTCTGTTACTTTAGGAACATCAAATATGACTATGGACATTTTTACTTGGCATGAAATTATCACAACTAGCATATTAAAAATATAGTGTATCCAAACAATTATTACAAACAGAATACCCACCCACATGCAAAAACAAAACTGAAACTTTTTTATTTTCTTCTGACAATCGCACCTCCTAAAGGAAGAAATGCATCTTGTTCTTGCATTGGAGAGTTCAGTTTGTAACCTAGGACTTGCTTGTCCTCAGTG